CCCAATCATGTGACCGCCGTGATGACTCGTCACGGCGGTCACATGATTCCTAAACCACGCCCCGCCCCGCCTCCCGAAACTCTTAAAGGGCCGGGAGACGCCGGCGGTGGGGGTTAAGCTTGTGATCTACCAAAACCCCCAGATCCTTCTCCACCATTGATTCCCCCAGTTGTACCCCCCCCTAGTATGTATGATGCATGCATATTCTGAACCCCCAAGTGCATAACCTTACATTTATCAACATTAAACCTCATTTGCCACATAGTTGCCCAATTAAACAGTGCATTGAGGTCAGCTTGTAAATTAAAGACATCCTGTAAGGACGTTATTCCACTGCACAGCTTGGTGTCATCTGCAAAGACTGAAATGGGATTTTTAATCTCAGACCCTATATCGTTTATAAATATATTAAAAAGTAAGGGTCCCAACACTGAACCCTGGGGTACACTACTGATGACCCTAGACCATTCAGAGTATGAATCATTAACCACTACTCTCTGAATACGATCTTTTAGCCAGTATTCTACCCATTTACATACAGATTTTTCCAAGCCTGTAGACTTTACCTTATACATTAACCATGTGTGGGGAACTGTGTCAAACGCTTTTGCAAATTCCAAGTATACCACATGCACCGCCACCCCTCTCTCCAAGGTTTTGCTCACCCCCTCATAAAAAGAAATCAGATTTGTTTGATAAATTCTGTCTTTCATGAATTCATGATGTCTGTTGCTTAAAATATTTTTTTCCAGCAAGAACTCATCTATGTGGTCTTTTATTAAACTCTCCAGTATCTTCCCAACTATAGTAGTTAAACTAACAGGGCTATGATTACTTGGTAAAGATTTTGACCCCTTTTTAAATATTGGCACCACATTGGCCTTGCGTCAATCCAGTGGTACTATGCCAGTCATTAAACAGTCCCTAAAAATTAGAAACAATGGCTTTGAAATGACAGAGCTCAATTCTTTAAGGACCCGTGGGTGTATGCCATCCAGTCCAGGTGCTTTATTCACCTTTATACTGTCTAAATATTTTTGGATCATATCAATTGTGAGCCAATGTGGATCATCTGGAGCTGTGTAAATACCATGCCCATTATGGACAAGAGCTCCCCCATGCTTCTTTGTATACACAGAGCTGAAGAAGGTATTAAATAAATTTGCCTTCTCTTTGTCCCCAGTCACCCACTCTAAATTATTTTGTAAAGGGCCTACATGCTCAGACCGAACCTTTTTACCAATAATATATTTGAAGAATTTTTTGGGGTTGGTCCTGCTATCTTTTGCAATCTGTCGTTCGTTTTCAATTTTTGCGGCCTTTATTTCCTTTTTGCATATTCTGTTATATTCTTTGTAATGTTTAAATGATGATAGCGTTCCTTCATTTTTATATTAAGTAAAAGCTCTTTTCTTATTATCTATAGCCTTTTTAACGTTGGCCGTAAGCCACATAGGTTTGATTTTTAGCCTTTTAAACTTGTTGCCCATGGGAATATATTTTGCAGTGTGTTCACATACATTCTTTTTGAAGAACTCTCATTTCTGTGTTGTGTTCATCAATGCCAACATTTCCTCCCAGTCTAAGTCTTGGAGAGCAGCTCTCAGCCTTGGAAAATTACCTCTCTTGAAATTGAGCGTTTTTATTTTTCTCGTATGTGCTTGCTGTTTAAAGCTAACAATAACGTGGAATCATGTTATGGTCACTGCTACCCAGATGTTCTTTTATATGGACATTCGTAATAAGCTCTGCATGGTTTGAGATTACCAGGTCCAGCAGAGCATCATTCCTAGTAGGGGCCTCTATGAACTATACCATAAAATTGTCCTGTAGTAGGTTTAAAAATTTTTTGCCCTTTACCTGTTTTGAGCTGAGTCTCCACCTCCTAATTAACACCAGGAGGCTTATAACAAACTCCAATGATTACCTTTGTAGTACGCACCCCCATATGCAGTTCCACCCATAATACTTCAGCCTCATCACACTCTCCATCAACTAGGTTCTCTTTCACACCCGCTCAGAGATCACTTCTCACATAGAGACAAACACCACCACCTTTCCTATTTACTCTGCCTCTCCGAACATAACATAACATAGCCAGGAATATTAATGGCCCAACCCTGTTATAATCTAATTCTCCCTCCCCCCTCGATCCTAGTTTAAATACTCCTCCAGCCTTCCCATAAACCTCTCCCCCAGCACAGCGGACCCCCTTCCATTTAGGTGCAGACCATCTCTAGCATATAGGCTGCACCCCAATGAAAAGTCAGCCCAGTGCTCTAGAAACCCAAATCCTTCCCTCTTACACCAGGTCTTCAGCCATGCATTGAGTTCTCTAATCTCCGCCTGTCTTTCCTGAGTTGCGCATGGCACAGGTAATATTTCAGAGAATATCACCTTGGAGGTTCTTCCCTTCAACTTGCAGCCTAGTTCTTTAAATTGATTCTTAAGCAGCCTCCACCTTCCATGTATTCTGTCATTGGTTCCAACATGAACCAAGACATGCCCAGCTCCTCCCAGTAATTTATCAACCCGGTCCACCACATGCCGAACCCTGGCACCAGGGAGACAGCAAACCATTCGGTAGAGGCAATCCTGGTGACAAATTATTCTATTAGTCCTTCTGATCATAGAATCCCCTACTACCACTAGCTGTCTAGGCCTTCCTGCACTACCCTCACCACCCCTCCCAGATGATCTGCCCTCCCGGCTGTTAGGGAAAGCAGTGACATCCATGGCTGCCACCCCTGAGCTTGCCACCCCCACATCTTCACCCAACTTAGCAAATCTGTTTGGGTACTCAAACCCAGGGCCAGCCTTCCTTTGCTGTGAGCCCCTACCACTACCTCTCATTACAGTAACCTATCTTCCTACGTGATAATCCTGATTAGCTTGTCCGCCCTCCACATCAACCCCATTAGCTACTTGCACAGAAAGCAGAAGATCCCTTTCAAGGTTGATAGTTCTGCCCAGTGTTGCAACACAGATTTCTCATATGGGAAAGCGGAAGTGCCCCACAGTGTGATCAGCCAATGCCGCAATTGAAGTTTATGAAAAAATTCCACTGGAGGGACATCCCGTGACTCCCGAAGAGAATTCCAGGTAGGGAAGGACCGAGAAGTCAAAAAGTGTCGCACCTGCAAAAAACCATTGGCCATCCACCAAGAAAACGCCCTTGGTTGATCTAAACCCGGAGGGAAGAGAGGGTTGTTAGTAATTGGGAGTAAAGGCAAGAAAGGTGACATCAGGCCACTGGAGTAACGTACCCGAGTCCCACACTTGTAAGCCATGGAGCAAAATCGGACTCAGTGCCATAGGACGCAGGGCAGGAGGTAGCCATAGAAGCGTCGATGTCGCAATAGGGGCACAATTAGGTAGTTCCCAGGGACCCAGAGAGGAATGTCTGAGGAAGTGTGCAACATAGACAACAGGGCAATCTGGCTCACCTGATAATACTTAGTTACATTAGGCACCTCAAGACCAACTTTGGGTCTATGAACAAAAAGCGTATTTCTGGAGACTCTGGGGCGCTTATCGGCCCAGATAAAATGCATAATCTTTGCCTGAATCAACCGTAGAAAAAATGAGGAGGAACCCGCACTGGGAGGGTGCGAAAATAGTATAACAATTTTGGCAAGATGGTCATTTTCACCTAATTAACCCGTCCTATCTAAGACAGGTGCGGAAATTGCCAAGAATGCATAAGAGAGAACACAGAGCGAAGCAATAAATAATAATTTGCAGCAAACAACAGTTATAGGTGGGGGTCAAGCGAATGCCTAAGTATTCAAGAGAAGAGGAAGCCCATTTGTAAGGGAAGTGGGACTGTAGGCGTGAAACCAAATCTGAGGCCAAAGTAATATGGAGGGTGACAGTCTTATCCAAATTAATATGGAGACCCGAAATCAAGGAGAAGCGCTCAAGAACCTGTTGCAAATTTGGAAGCGTAGTCAGGGGATTAGTGAGAGTCAAGAGGGCATCGTCTGCAAATAGGTTCAATTTGAACTCCTGTCCTGCGTATGGAACCCCCGATACATTACAATCATTCTGGAGCGCTAAAGCCAGCAGCTCAAGCGCCAGGGCAAAGAGCGCCAGGGACAGGGGACAGCCCTATCTCGTCCCTCGCCAAATAGGAAAGGGATCTAAGAAATACCCAACGTATTTAACGGAAGCTGAAGGGGAAGAATACAAGGCTTGAATCCAAGAAAGAATAGAATCCCCAAAACCCCAACGAGACAGCACAAACCGCAGATATTCCCAGGATAGAGAATCAAAAGCTTTATACATGTCTAAGGACAGTAAGAATCCCGGGATTTTCCGCTGTTGTAGAAAACGTATAAGATGGACCACCTTACGAAGATTATCACCCACCTGCCTCCCAGGGACGAAACCTACTTGGTCCATGTGGACCAGACTGCAAATATTTATTGATACGATGACTAAGAATCTTGCCCAATATCTTCAGGTCTTCATTAAGAAGAGAAATGGGCCAGAAGGCTTGTGGTTCCTGCACATCATCGGTCGTTTTACGAATCATGGAGATATGAGCTCTAAGCACGTCCGGAGAGGGCAAAGAGCCCTGTCGTAACTCATTAACCACCTCCCGCCCGTCATATAGTATTATGACGGATGCAAGGTGGTTCTCTCGTTCTGGGACGACGTCATATGACATCCTCCCATTCTCACTGCGCATGTGCGGCTCAGGGAGCGCACAGCGCAGCGATCAGCGGTGCGCTGTGTCCCTCGAACACAGCGGATCACCGATCACGGAAAGAGCTGAAGATGTAGGCTCGGTCATGTGATCAGCTGTGTCCAATCACAGCTGATCACATGTAAACAGGGAAATGCCGGTTATTGGCATTTCTCTCCTCTCAAGCTGTCATGCTGACAGCTCGAGAGGAGAGGAGAGCCGATAATCGGCTTTCCGCAGAGGGACATGTACACTGATCATCGGGGCACTGATGATCAGTGTGCCCTGATGATCAGTGTAGCCCCAGCAGTGTCACCTGTCAGTGTCCATGAGTGCGTTGTGTCAGTGCTCATCAGTGCCTCATATCAGTGCCCATCTGAGCTGCCTTTCAGTGTCACCCACCAGTGCCAGTCAGTGCCACCTATCAATGCCAATCAGTGCCACCCATCAGTGCTCCCAATCAGTGGCACCTATCAGTGCCAGTCAGTGCTGCCTATCAGTGCCAGTCAGTGCCACCTATCAATGCCAATCAGTGCCACCCATCAGTGCTCCCAATCAGTGGCACCCATCAGTGCCAGTCAGTGCTGCCTATCAGTGCCAGTCAGTGCCGCCTATCAGTGTGCATCAGTGCCGCCTATCAGTGCCAGTCAGTGCCGACTAACAGTGCCAGTCAGTGCCACCTAACAGTGCCAGTCAGTGCCACCTAACAGTGCCGCCTATCAGTGTTATGTATCAGTGCTGCCTTTCAGTGCCCATCAGTGCCACCTACCAGTGCCTCCTCATCAGTGCCACCTATCAGTGTCCATCAGTGCAGCCTATCAGTGCCCATCAGTGCAGCCTCATTAGCGCACATCAGTGAAAGAGAAAAATTACTTATTTACAAAATTTTATAACAAAAACCAAGAAAAAACTTTTTTTTCCAAAATTTTCAGTGGTTTTTGGTTTGTTTAAGAAAAAATAAAAAAACCCAGAGGTGATTAAATACCACCAAAATAAAGCTCTGTCACAAAAAAAATGATAAAAATTTCATATGGGTACAGTGTTGCATGACCGCGCAATTGTCATTCACAGCTAAAAGCTGGAAATTGGCCTAGGCAGGAAGGGGGTATAAGTGCCCTGTAGGCTTGTGGTTAAAATAGTCAGCCAAGAAGGGCGCTAACAGGGTTGCAAATTTCTTATAATAGAGACGGGAGAAGCCGTCGGGACCTGGGGCCACGATGGCCCATAGAGATTTGATAGCTTGGAGCACTTCTGATACGGTGACACCGGCGTTGATAATCCAGGAAGTCGAAGATCTTGAAAGAATGCCTCTGCCTGAGCCACATGGAAGGGATCTGGTTTAGCGTAAAGGCGCAAACGGAAGTCTGCGAAACGGGAGACAATCTGCTGGGGATTAGAAGTACAGCCACCCGCTGGAAGTCACAATCTGATCTATTTATGGGGTTTCCCCACAGAATTGAGTTTTCTGGCCAGCATGGGACCCGGCTTATTAGCACAGGAATAAAATTTGTGTTTGGTCCAACGCAAGCCCCGTTCCGCCTCCGAAAAGGCAAGTAGGTCCAACTCTGCCGCCAGAGCGTCCCGTGCATGTTTATAGGCCGCGGATGGAAATGACTTCCAACGAGCATCTGCAGAGACCAGTAGAGAATGAAGCTCCAAAAGTCGACGCTCCCGCTCCCGCTTCCGAACTGCTGCCAGCTGTATAACATGACCCCGCACTGTGGCTTTATGCGCCTCCCACAGGGGCACTGCCGAAGAGACAGATCACAAGTTTTCCATGAAGTATGTGCGTAAGAAAGATTCTATTTGTTGGCAGGTAACTTGAGTGGTCAATAGAGAATCATTAATGCACCCGTGAAAGGGGCGCCGTACCGACCCAGAGAGGGCAAGGAGGAGTACCAGGGGATCATGGTCTTACCAGGGCGAGGAGGGAATAGTTATCCGCCTGACCAAGGGAAGCTGCTGGACATGCATGAATATATGGTAAATTCTACAAAACCTGTCATAAGGATTGGAATAGAATGTAAAGTTACACTCAGTTGGGTGAAGTTCCCTCCAGACGTCCGTCTGCAAGAGAGAGCGCATACGTTCCTCTAGCACTAAGTCGTGAGAAGGGCATAGCGCCTATCCATTGTGGAATCCAATGTAACATTTGAATCTCCCAAAAGAAGACCCTTGGAGCGTTAGGAAACAATGGTGCAAAGATGAGAAAATAATTCATGCTGAAAGCAATTGGGCCCTGCAGAAGCAAATACTTGCCCGTGAGGTCCGCTATATGCCGAGCACAGACAAAAGGGAGATTGCGTTTGAAAGCTATCAGTATACCCCGGTGTTTCTCAGGAGCCGAGGCCGTGTAAGAAGTGGGATAATGAGGCGAAAGATACCATGGAGCGGAGGACTGAGAAAACCTGGTCTCCTGTAAACATACCATGTCGATTTGTTGCGATTTGAGGTGATGAAAAACTTTAGCCCGCTTCTGAGGCGAATTGAAGCCTTGAACATTTTGTGAGTGTACTTTCAGAAGGGGTGAGGCCATGGCGGTATCAGCACAGCACGCTCAGCAGAAAAAGCATAAGTCGGCCAACAATTTCCACTAACAATGGCGATTGGACCATGGCGTCCCGAAACCCTACATAAAACAAAAACAGAAAAAAAACCAGAGAAGAAAAAAAAAAAAAAGAAAAAAAGAAAATGACACAAGAAGTATATACAACAACACAATCGTGTCACGCCAATGGTGACATGCATCCTCCTACACTTGAAGGATACCAGTTGGGGGTGGCTCTACCTCCGGACACATGGCTGCAAATGAAAACATCAAAAACATAAGCCCTCAGGGAGCAAAAAGGCAATAAACACAATATAACGGGGTACCAAAGTAATAAAATATGAGTCCCGGAAGTGAGAACATCCACGATAACCTCCCCATAGAAACCCAGCTAAACTTGGGGGCCAACCCTCTCCAGGTGGATGACTACAGGCTTCCGTGGTACCCCACAACACAGCCCAAGTGGTCCCCCACCCACCTCCCAGTAGGACCGACACCCAAACCAGGCCTACTAGGCCAACCTCCCACCCTGGAGCCCGAATGAACCATCACCCCATTCCACCATTGGGAAAGCAAACAAAGTTACCCGAACCCATGGTAGGCCACAACAGCAAAAAGTCATAATCCTTAAGTCCAGGAGGAGACCCGCTCCCCACTCAGGGATGGAAGCCAAGGGAACAGGCCAGATCAGGCCCTACCTGGAACGCGAACAAACTGGAAAAGCCCAAAGGGCCAAACTCACGGTCCAGTCACGAAAGTCCAAGGGTGAAACACAACTTGGGAGATCCAAGATACATCTTCAGCCCGGAGAACTGGCAGGACTGCAGGACTGACTTGATCATAGAGGGGTCTGAGGGAGGGCCCTCTTCCTGTTGGAAGACCACTCCCAGAGGCAACCCAGAGGAAGTGGCCTCGCTGGGCATCCGAATGAATGAGCTGGGCTCTGAGTAGCGGCTTCCGGCGAAAGAAGGTGTAAAGATTCCAGGAGAGAGTGAGCCTCCTCCGGCGTGGCAACAGAGTGACTGCGGCCATGGTAGTTGAAGGTGAGGCGGAACTGAAAGCCCCAGGCTTATTTAATTCTACGGTTCACCAGGACCAAAGTGAAGGGCTTCAACTGGCGGCACCTCTGAAGAGTGGTCTGGGAGAGGTCCGCGAAGAGCTGGTAGTAATACCCCTGGAATCTGAGGTCTGGGTTGTTTCTGGCCACCAAGAGGATAGTTTCCTTAGTGCAATAGTACGTGAACTTGATGATAATGTCCCTCGGGGGCCCATCCTGTTGTCTGGGGCCCAATGCACGGTGTATGCGGTCAAATTCGAGCCGGTCAATGGGAATGGTGTCAGCTCCTGAAAAAGAGCAGTAGCGGTGGAGGTGAGATCTGTGACCATTTCTGGGATACCTCTTAATTTCAAATTGCCACGGCGGGAACGGTTTTCGAAATCCTCAAGCCGGAGCAGCACGTCCGCTAATTCTTTCTTGAGGTCACACAAATCCTGTTTGTGACTTTCAATTACCGTGGCGACAATGTCCATTTTATCCTCGAGATCAATTGTCCAATTGCCCAACTCCCCAATTTCTCGAGAAAGATGGTCTGCCAGCTTGGAGATAGCGGAGGACAATTCCGACTGCAGCATGGACTTGAAGCGGCGCAGGAGCTCAGCATCTCTCAGAACTGGAGTGGGAGACTGCAGGGATGCCTCTGATGCCAGGTCGTTATCGCCTTTGGGATCCGGCCCACCCGCAGTAGCAGCAGTGGGGGACCCGAAATCGAGGCCGGAGCTTCAGTTGCGGCCTCCGGCGGAAGACGCGAACTCGTGGAACCCTTCGGCGGTGGACCCAAAATCGAGGCCGTGGCTTCAGATGTGTCCTCCGGCGGGTAGGCCGCAAATTCTGGCGCAGCCTGCCGGGCGCTGGAGGTGTGGGCGGCCGCTGATTTCTTGCTCATCGGCACTGGGGGACAGAGGACTAGGAGGGGCTGGAGGGAATGCAGATGACCCCCCCCCAAGGGCTAGAAATCGGCCAATGTGTCCGGCGGCTGAGGAGCAGGCCTATAATGCAGCCATCCTGGAAGCTGCTCGCGAGCCGTGTACCTCTAGATTTGAATGTTTAAGTTCTGGCTCCTGAAGGCTTTGGGCCTCCATAGTGCCCATAGTAAACTACATCTTCTACACATATTAGAAGTAGAATACATGTTTGTATTCTGATTTGGTTAGTATTCTTCACCCTCTGCAGGGATTATCACTTTAATAATGTATCTTGCCATTGCGGGACAAGCAGGTTAAATGCACATGAATCTGAAAGTTCAGAGAAAACTATTATGGATTGTATTAAGTGTAAAAAAGATGTCACTGTTATGACTCAGTAAGCAGCAGCTGGGATTAAAGAGTGAAAAGCTCTGAGAGGGCACGTGAGCCACACTGAAAACTTGATCGCAATCTTCTTTTCAGTCCAGAGCACTGCAGAGCTCAGGCTCAATCTTTGATTTGTGGGTATTATTATTCTCTGCATGATTTACTTATTTACAGATTTAACTTCAACAGAAGGAAGGTAGACAAATCAACTTACAAGGACATAAAATTTAAAAAGAAACTAAATTTAAAGTAATGATATTTTTAAAGGAGTTTTGAAGATAGATGAGCAAAAATAACAAAATTTTTTTTATATATATAGTATATGTTTAATAAATTTATGTTATTTTCAAATCCATTAAAAATAGGAACTAAGGGGCCAAGCCCAACTTGGCACAGTACAGTCAGGCAAGTACCATTCTCCTGGCAACCGCCAAACCCAGGCACGTTCATTGGATTGCCAGACAGAGAAGTGTGATTCATCCCTCTTTCATCACATTCATCACACATCTCTGCTGTTCTAGAGTACAGTGGCGGCGTGCTTTACATCACCGCATCTGACTCTTTGCATTGCACTTGGTATGTAAGGCTTGGAAGTAGCTGTTTGGCCATGGAGACACATTCCACGAAGCTCTCCACGCTCTTTTGTTGCACTAATCTGAAGCCCACAGGAAGTTTGAAGGTCATTAGCTATTGGCTCTGCAGACAATTGGTTGTTTCTGCACGCTGTGCTCTTCAGCATGTGC